CTCATGACTGTAAAGCTGTTTACTGTACTAACACTAGCTACATATATTAATTAGGCTATCAAGTGCTCAATAGCTGTAATAAAAATCTGCAAAATGTTAATAATATTTCTCGGACTTAATTATCATTTTTGTTATGTTTGTCTGTAAATCAAAATATATTGTCATTTATGAGTTAAGGTCAGTATCCGCAGGGTTATTGTGTCCAAGTATAAAGTCAATCCATTACTAAATTGATAAAAATGATGGCCGATGTTAAAAGTTTCTGGACAGCATGACAACCAGAATGCAGCAAACGCTCACATTTTTTTCCACAAAAAGTCGAGTTATTAAATATCACAAAATGACATCCAAGCTGATATCAAAAAATCTTCATGATTGATTTATTTATCTATCTATTTATTATTCTTCATGATTTATTTATCTATCTATTTATACAGCTTCCCACTCATTTCATTCCTTTCATAGGTTAAATATAATAATTTTATATCAAATATTGAACATTCTGAAATACCATTTCTGACATTTGTAGAGTAATCATAGATCTAATATATTCTATAAACAATGTGTGATAAAACGAATCAATAACTTGAAAGCCTGTTGTCTTACAGGATAGTCAATAACAAAATCATAAAACAGGCCAGCTCAATAAAATCTACCTTTATCAATAGTCAGCCTGCTGTACTGTCATGTAAATCATACATGGGTACATTTCTTGGAAAAATACTCTCTCAGTCCATTTTTAAACAAACAGTCAGTAGCTGGTTAACTGTTTATGTAATAAGTGCACTTCTAGAAAAACTTTTTTGCAAATTATAGTCACAGACAAAAGTATGTCGCAACAAGCAAATCTCTTAATTTGATATCCTCAATGGAACAGAATATAATGCCACCTGATGCAAACTTCTTTTTATAAACCTCTGAATAGAGGTGAAATTTAATTTGAATAGTTTATGTATTATGATACAAAGCCCAACCAGTTTAGCAATGGACAAGCAAATCTAAATGTCCTTTTGAGACAAAATGACATTAAAATATTACTGACATTAAGAAATATCATTTGGTCATCCATTTAAAATATTGTTATTTCGGTGCAGTAATGGGTTAACTCCTTGTATACCTTAATAGGAGTTAACCTGTTACTGCACAAAGGTTAAAATATGTTATTGTAATAAGTACAATTTTAAGAGCCAAGTTTAGTGAAAACTCAAATGTTATTGTAATGTATAAACACAGGTCAAGAAATTATTCTATTAGCTAGAACTTTTTGAATGTTAAGTTTGAACAGAATCCAGCATTTCCTACCCATTGGTTGCTATAGTAACCCTATTTCTTCGAAAATAGAATAATGTGCATAACCTCAATATTGCCATCTACGGTATCTATGTTCAAGTTTAATGAAAATATTCTTTTGTTTCTACAGCATCGACATTTCTTGACACAGGAAGATATTGCCATCTATCAATGTTTCATGTTTCATAAATATATTCTTTAGTTGCTATTGCAACCAGTACATTTCTCAATAAAGGCAAAATCTTCATATTGCCATCTATATGTGTTTCAAATGTCGTAAAAAAATACTTTGTTGCTACAGCTACCACTTTTCTCCACAATGTGCTCAATCTCCATATTGCCATCTATCCATGTTTAAGTTTCATAAAATATTCTTTTGTTCCTATAGCAACCAAATGAAGAAAATAAAATAATGTGCATAATCTACATAATTATACTTGTACAGAAAATTCAATTAGGATAACCACCTGCTACACCACCTGGTTTGATAAAGAGGAAATTCCATCTTAGACACTAAATATTTAACACAAATTAAAATCTGAATAACTGATTCAAAGACTGTGATATGAATTGAATAATACAATAATCACATTACTATCCTCAGAGCTTGGAATTAAGAAAAGGGGCAAAACTCAGTAAAAAGTCAACTTCGAGTTCATGGGACCAGGCCAGGACTTTGTGCAATAACTCAGGTACTTCAACAAGAAACAGGGTAGAACCACTGACATTCTGTAAGATAGCTGGAGCTTCTTCTCACATGAAAGAATCCAAAGTCCCTGGCAGGATTCGAACCTCATTAGTGTGGTGCAAACTGCTTGAAGTCAACAACCTTAACCACTCGGTCCATGGATGCCCCTAGAGTGTTCTTGAAAAACAGCTAAGCTCTTGGCCATAATTATAGTTACAGGCAATTGCACATAGTTACTCAAAAGCTTTTTCTAAAGAATAAAAAGTTTCATCCTTTTATTTATTTTCTTAATAAACAGATACATAAATAGTTTTAAGTTAGTGCATGTTACAAAAGTGATCTTTAAACTAGACTATTTTTAACCCTTAGTATAATAGGGGAAATGAGAGTTATATAACTTTTGAACAGATCCAGTCCAGTCAAAGCTACATGGCAAATATTTTAGCTCTATTATAAGTCCATGTTTCACACAAGAAGATTAAGATAACTCTTAAATTTTTATAAGATTAAGTTAACTAAGTGATAATGGAAGTATTGATATGATACTGATCCATTGGTTTAACAGATGATGTTTAAAGTAAAGTGTGAAGGGAAGAAAGACATAATTGAGTGACCACAATAATCGAGACCTTAAGAGAACATAATTATGTGCTCTGGATATAAAATCTAACACATCAAATTATAAGTTCCAAGAAAGATCATTCATGATTTTTTTATAACCCAGAATAAACAAGCAATTATCATAGTATTGCAAGCAATCCATAAGTCCCCTACCGGTAAGAGCCCAAGCAACATTCTGAAGGGCCATTCACTTAGGTTCCTATTTTAAGTAAATTTGTTGAAAAAGTTCTTTAAAAATGATCACAGGAAACAGTTTTTATGTACAGACAGACAGACTGAAGGACACTCTAAAGTTATTTTTTAAACATCCCTGTTATCAAAATATAACATTTTTAAAATCCTATCATGATTGAAGAAGTTGGAGTAAAAATTACCAATTTCTCAAGTCTGAGTTCAAAAGGGGCATAATTCTTGAAATAGTCTTGCTAGAGTATTGAACACTCACAAATGTTGAATGACAATAAGAAACATTTATATGAAGTTTGAAGTAGATACATTCAGAAAAAGAAGTTATTAAAAAAGACAATGTTTTTTTCATGAAAATTTTAAGTTCAAGGGAGGTAATTCTGATAAATTTTGTACTAGAGTTGTAAACCTTGCCACATATGATGTGGTTGATGACAAGCAACTTATATTTAAAGTTTGAAGAAAATACCTTAAGAAATAAAGAACTTATAGTGAAAAAACTTAAAAACTAGAATAAGAAATCTTGAAATTCAGTCTATTTGTTGCCATAGCAACCAGAATTTTCAACATAGGAAGATAAGAAAAGGATGTGCATAATTTCCATACTGCCATCTACCCATATGTCAAGTTTCATAAACATATTTTCAGTACTTTTTGTGTTATCACTGGATCCAGGTTATGAGTAAAATTTGCCATATTTTCAGTCTATTTGTTGCCATAGCAACCAGAATTTTCAACAAAGGAAGAAAAGAAAAAGACGTGCATAATCTCCATACTGCCATCTATCCATATATCAAGTTTCATAAAAATATTTTCAGTACTTTTTGCGTTATCGCGGGATCCACTCTGTAATATAGGCCCACATTTGCCAGAAATTCCCTAGTAGAAGATAACTGTTCATCTAAATTACTGCTCTGCAGGATATCTTATTATAACCCTGGCGTGAACTATAAACTGTCCATGGTGCATTATCGATACAACTCTTATCAGAAACATTATGGCCATTTACCAGTGGTCAGTGTGGATTGATTTCACCTCAACATTAGACAAGAAAAGCATTGATGCAAAGCATCAAAGGGCGTCCAAGCAGGAAATGCAGAAAGTGAAGATGAACTAGTAGACATATGATGACAAGATATTCTAATAAACTTTTCAATGGTTAATTGGTTTTTACCAGAATTAACGGATGAAAGACATTGTTCATTATGAACTTTGATTGGCATGCTAGAGATTAGAATATTACTTGTTATTTCTTTATGATCGTGATTATTAATAGCAACGGATATACATGTATACAATCATTTATAATCCATATGTGTAACGCATGATCAACACCACACTTGTGGAATTGTCTCTTATTATGTTATCGCTATTAGCGACGACCCCTCTTAAGGTATCTGTTCACACTTAGTAAAAATATGACACTGGTTATATGACTATGTTGATCATGTTAAGCATAATTGTTTATTATACAATAATTGTAATATCTATTTTAATATAAAAAAATACAGATTTTATGAATATTGTTTTCCTCTCTTTTTTGTTTGTATTAGTATTTATGTAAACAGAAGTACCATCATTAGTTTCTGGTTTGGGCTTATCAGATGGAAATGGGATATTAATTGCCCCCCATGCTGTGAATCAGCCACACTGACCACTTAATGTCTTCATGGTAATTCTGTAAATAACAGTACTGGCCAGATCAGTAGTGATCAGATTTTTGGGTCTATGGTCTCGTCTGGGATCCAGTTTATGTGTAAAATTTGTCATATTTTCAGTCTATTTGTTGCCATAGCAACCAGAATTTTCAACATAGGAAGAAAAGAAAAAGACGTTCATAATCTCCATACTGCCATCTATCCATATATCAAGTTTCATTAAAATATTTTCAGTACTTTTTGTGTTATCGCGGGATCCAGTTTTGTGGACGGACGGACTGACGGACGGACAGACGGACGGACTGACAGACGGACGGAGGGTAAACCTAAAGTCCCCTCCGGTAAACCGGTAGGGGACTAAAAACCCTTTAGTCATATGTTGACAGGAATCAGAAATTGAAGGCAGATTCTAAGAAAAACACTGTAATTATAGTTGGACCAGGTATATAAAAGAAACTTCATAAACTTTGTAAGGCTGATAGACAGGAACCACTGATGTGAGATAGATCAAACAACATTAATTAACATTAGACATGAGAAATTAAAAGTTGACAAACCTGTTCCATATACACAATCAAGTTTTTTCCTGCAAGCCACACAAAACTGTTTTCTCTATCCTAGGAAACTGACATCTTGAATGAGGAATCATGGGTAACAAGAATTATAATCAAAAGTCAGCAGGTGTAAACTCTGAAAAATATGAAAAGGATATTTTAACATTTTTACCCTGTTGGACCTAAAAAGTGATTAGCATTTGTCACAAGTATAGAGCCAGACCAGTCTGTCTGACCAACTTCAAACTGATGATGCACATTTCCAAATAATTGGAAGTTGGATAAATTAATGTTAATTTTGTGTAAGATGTTTGTACAAGAAGTTTGTGTAAAGATACTGTGTAAATTAGAGATTTGTGTTGCAAGTTTGTGTAAATCAAAGATTGTTTTGGAAGTTTTTGTAAATTAAGGATTTGTGTAAGATCAGTTTGTGTAAAAAAAAGCAGAATTATGTCTGAAGTTTATGTAAATTAAAAATTTGTCTTAGAAGTGTAACAAAAAAAGATTTGTGTCGAAAGTCTGTATAAATTAAGAATTTGTGTCAGACGTTTGTGTAAATTAAAAATTTGTGTAAGAAGTTTGTGTAAAAAAGACTGACTCATCTGTTTTGGAAGTTTGGGTAAAAAGATCTTTTTGTCAAAGGTTGTGTAAATGAAGGATATGTGTAAGAAATATGTGTTAAAAAATTGTGTGAGAAGTTTGTGTAAATTAAAGATATGTGTTGGAAGTTTGTGTAAATTACTTTTTGTGTCCAAAGTTAGTGTAAATTAAAAGTTTGAGTGAAAAGTTTGTAAGAAGTTTGTGAAAGAAATTTGTGTTAATAGAAGTTAAAATGTGAAAGAAGTTTAAATTGACATTTTATTTGGCTGTTAATTCATGGAAGTCTGTAATAAAATTTAAATTACGTCAAAGGTGTTAATAGGTTAACAGAAACCATGGTGATAATAGAATCCTTATAAAAAAGTGACGATATCCCCCAAAGAATGTTTTATATTTAACAAATAACATGAACAAATAGATCACATAAAATATGAACTTCAACTTGGCCAATTCTATTGTGAAAACTACATTTTCCTAGTTTAGAACAAAATCAATTCAGATTCTTATTAGTGTCATAACAACCTTAATAACCATACTACAAGATATGATCATTTTCATGTAAAATACATGCACAGACATATAATAAACAAGACTCACCGGCTGCCAAAAAAGTTAAGTGACAACATATTATATCTGTCATGCAAGCAACATTATCAAGATTTTCATGAAGAAAGAAAACTAATGCACTTATTACACAGATGAAATATTCCTGCACAGATCTCAATAACAAAATTCACAATCTTTTTATAACATTCTATATTTAATATTTTCCAATACTTGATAAATTCTTTCCTATGTAATGACATCAGACATTGGAAAGTCAATGATATTTAGCACACTTGAGGCTTGTTACAATAAACTAGAACACACCGACTAAAGTGTACATTATTATGATGTATTCCACTGGCTGGAAGTATCAAAGGAGAAATTCTCACTTGCCAAATGATTTTCATTACTACTTCTATTCAACTTGCATAAAATTTCTCATACAGGGAAACAGAATTACACAACAACATAGAAATTTGAAGTTAGCTTGAAACTGGAAAATGATACTCCTGAGGAACTATTTGGAAACTTAAATTCAATGGTTAAAACTTCAATAATAAAACATGTTGATTTGAAAAATTAAAACACTTCAAACTGATTTTATATATAATTGAAAATTGACAAAATGAAAGCTTGTCACTTCTTGCACAATATGAAAGTTTGACACTTCTTGCACAATATGGAAACTTGGCACTGGAAGTTTGACACTTCTTGCACAATATGGAAGTTTGTCACTTCTTGCACAATATGGAAACTTGGCACTGGAAGTTTGACACTTCTTGCACAATATGAAAGTTTGACACTTTTTGCACAATATGGAAACTTGGCACTGGAAGGACAAAATGGAAGTTTGACACTAGTTGGAGAATATAGAAACTTGTACTTGAAGTACAATATGGAAGTTTGACACTGGTTGAACGATATAGAAACTTGGAACTGGAAGGAAAAAATGAAAACTTGACAGTTGTTGGACAATATTGAACTTTGACACTTGTTGGACAGTATGGAAACTTGACACTAGAAGAACAATATGAAAACTTAATAAGATTGGTTGACAATATGAAAGCCCATCATCAACAATGATGATACAATTCTATAGCTGCATGTTATCTTAAAATTTGAAGATGAATGGTGATTTAAAATCTTAATTATCAATCCAAAACATGCATACAGGAACTTGAAAAGAAAGATCAACGTTGTATCAAAATTTTTACATCTTAAATATCAGGAAAGAAATAAAAAATATTCTAGATAACAAAACTTTGCCAGGGCAAATTATCAGGAGCATCTCGGTAATGTAAACAAAAACAACATTGTGTAATTAATTTTTCCTGGAGAATTTCAGCAGAAATCATCCTGTCATGTAATGCATAGGCATACAATCTGTAGCTTGCAATTCCTCAGACTTTACCATTATCCTGATTGACATAATGAAATATTGATGAACAAACTTAATACTGCCAAGTATAGAGTGTTTGTGTGCTGTAAAGCTGATATAACAGTTTACTTGACACAGATTACGTTATAAAATGGCTTTTATAGGGTTTTTTTATTGTTTTTTTTTTTTATTTATTTTTTTTTTTTTGTACTAAAACATTTAATATCTTAAATACATTTGAAATGAATTTAATGTGTGTCCTAAGATAAATTTTATCCCGAACTTAAAGGCAAACAAGGTTTTCCCCATTTAATCCCAGGGTACAAACTGTGACCGATATTATCTTCATGGTGCACTAAAAAGTAATCAGTGTGTTGCAGTAATTGCAGTCAATATATTTACCAACCTCATGAATACTATTAAATTTTTGTAACTTGTAGCTGGCACCCCCCTCCCTACCATGCCCAGGATTAGATGGAGAAAACTCATATTTGCCGAGTTCCCGAATATCTTAAATGTTGTCTTGATGCATTGATTATAACATGTCAGTAAGGTTTATAGTCACACGGTAACATGTTAGAATTAATAAGTTCACAATGTTCTGAAAGCAGACAGGTCTTGTGGTAAGCTGCCAATCTGAAAGGCTCAAAAATGTGACTGGTATTTGAGACACTTGCAAACAACTGTCAAATGATGCTGGATAATTGCCATTTGTCATACACAATGTGCAAGAGGTGTAGGACTTTTCCAACTTTGAAGAACTCGTTCAACGTCAAAAAGCCCATCAACATAAAATTTAAAATTCTTAAATAATTTGAAATTCTTAAATAATTATATCAAATGAAAAACTGCAAAAGATTGTAAAGAAATATACTCAGAATCAAATTGAAAATTGATTTGTTTGCACAATTTTTAGCTCAGTTTGAGTAAAAAGACATAACAGGGCTTGTCTTTTTTGGTTGTTTTGCACAATTTAATAAAATTAATTATTTTGGGAAAATGGAGAGAGGGTCTCAATGATCTGAAATTTTTAACACAAGTTATCAGTCCAGAGTCCTGTATCAAATGGCATGCTCACTTTTTAATCACTTCACACTAAAAAACCCTACATTAAGTGGTTTAACAGAGTAAACCACTACTTAACAATAATTTGAAAATTTTATTTATCATAAAGTCATAAACAATTGAGATGAAAACTGTCAGACATTTTTCCATTTTAAAATGCAACATCATTAACTGTAAACAGTTGTAAAAGACTGTAAAAAATCACATCAGCTCAAGTTATCTTTAGACACACACATGGAATCAACATGAGAGGGGCTAAATTATAGATGTTAAATCAGATAATGTCACTTATTTCTGATAGAATGGCATATCACTGACAACTTTGTAAAGCTGTAAACTTCATAAATTTGTATTTTTGCAAATCAGCATTTCAAATACAAGTGTATTTAAGATTCATATATACATTATATATGGTAGGATCAAATGTCTTTAATCATGATCTGTCTTATGACAGATGGCATAAAAAGAAAGTTACCTTAATCAATATGCCCTGTTTACAACACTATAGAACAGGAATGAAAGTTTTAAATGTCCTGTAAGCAACAAAGTTTAAGGTTATCATAATCTACTAAAATGCTTTCCCCACTAAAATATTTCTAACATATCATAATAAATTGGTCATTTCTGGTACATTATTTTTCACAATCTTTGATAATTTTCAATTGTTTATAAACAGAATTGAGTGCATTATTGCCACTAAGGATGAGTGATTGTAAATAATCGTAAGCCCAAAAATTTGAAAAAATAATGTTCCGGAAATAACTGTTTTGCTATGATATTGGCCAATGTTAGATTTTTTTGGGCATGAAAGCATTACAGTTAGACTACCTATAATGTCCTGTTTACATAACTTAAACATCATACACGTGAACATAAAAAGTCTATGGAAATTAAGACAATTTAATGTTCTATAAGTAAGCATATACCTGAGGAAAGAAAGTTTAATGTCCTGTTTACATTACTCCAGCATACACTTACCTAACTATGGAAAGACAGTTTAATGTTCTATAAGTAAGCATATACCTGTCAGGAAAGAAAGTTTAAAAGTCCTGCCTACATAACTCCAGCACACACTTATCTAACTATGGAAAGACAGTTTATGTTCTATAAGCAAGCATATACCTGGCAGGGGCGTACCTCGGCTTATTATGAGTGTACGCGAGTGCCGGTTTTTGGCCGAAGGATCGCCAGAGACTTATATATCAAATTAAGCTATGTGCTATAACTAAGGATTTAGGGGATATTTAAGCTAATTGTACTACTATTGTTTTTATCTATAGTCATGAAAATAACATCAGGTACATATATTGAATGTAAGAGAAATAGCACGAAGTCTAACGTGTACACTGTTTTAAATAATTCAAAAGTTATTTGCTTTTAGAAAAACAAAGCATAGCCAGGTTTCTCTCTTGTAAAAAAGATGGGTTTTATTTCCTTTTGTAACAAGTTTAGTTTTTTTCTTTGTAATTTGTCTTTTGTTTCACCATAACATAGCGTGAGGTATAATCAAGGAAATATGCTTTCAAAATGATCTGTATGACTCTAATAAAAACACAACAGCTTAAATGTTTAGTGTAACGAAAAGTTATCGTATTCATAGCTAAAATGTACTAGTAGTATCGCACGATCATTTAAGCTTCCTTAAAATATCTGATAATGCGTATTATGTCAATGTTGTAGACAATAAATATTGTCTCTAACATTTTTGTTCTCAACTCTAGTCTTTCAATTTCCATTCGAAATATTTAAGTTATTTCATTAATATGAAGTTAAAAGTTGGTATAAACAGACTCGCCAATTTGTTATCTAAAGTCGGCGAAAATATACAGACATACGCCACTGCGGGCGTCGTTCATTGACGTTACGTCACTTCCATTGTTTTGTTTTGATATACTCGTATTTGTATGTAAAATAAATGCTGCTGAAGAAGGCCGCAAGGCCGAAAGCTACGGCAAATTTAAATTTGCGATTTTGCTTATATATAGTGTAGCGATATATTTTGTAAATACTGGTATTCTTTTTTACGGTCAAATAAACAAAAGTTGAATTTAGTTTGTGACGATGGGTGTTGGCAATAGTTCACTGCAAAGATCTGATTCACAGTGTCAAAACTATTCTACATAATTTGAAATGAATACAAGTTGAATGAATATTACTAACTTAAAAATAATATACTGATTCATAGTTACAAGGTAAAATATAACAAGAGCTGTCGGTAGGACAGCACGCTCGACTATTCTAAGTGCTTGATAGTAAAAGAGCCTTGATAATGTTAAATTTTCTAAGTTCACAAAAGGACTAATTTTTTTTTATAAATTCATGTTCTAGGCCTTAGAAGGAGTCTAATTATACAGTATTGGCTTGACTATTTGGAAGGTAATGTCACAAGGGTGTTTTATTGAGTATAATAATACTAATTACCTATGAATACATAAATTTGACAGAAAAGGTACAAAGGCTTGTTATTAAGATGTTTTATCAAGTAAATCACTGCTTTATTATTATGAATGCATAAAATTGTCCCAAAAAAGGCACAAACCTTTCAGTAGTTATGGAGATAACAGCTTACAAGCAAAACTTTACCATGAATTTCTAAGTTGAAAAAGGGAAGAAAAATCAGCCTAAATGCAAGATAGAATTATGGGTCTTTGTCAGTGACCTACAATTCTGACCCTAAATGCATATGTGAAGTTTTAAATAAATATCTTTAATAGTTATTGAGATATGTAAAACTTGCATGTAAACATTAACCAGG